TCTTGTATGGCACTTTCCATATTATCGAAGCTGAAGATCGCTGGACTACTTGGTTTTTCTGTGCGCACCATGTTTGTAACAAATATAATAAGCTTTTATTCTTCATATACAACGTATTATTATAGCATACACACTTGGCATAAACTTTAGTTGTACACATCATTGTGTACTATCACCCAGTATCTCATTGTGTACCAAGTACCATTGTTGTGAACAAATGCAAATAAAGATTCTTTGTGTAGTTTTGGTTTTGAGACACGACTATTGGAGATTAAACTAAATTTAGACTGAACTTTGGTACTTCACGCATAAAGTTGCAAATTGACACAAATCAACAATTCGATTCAATAATAAACCTATATAAAAAGTAACTTCCTACCCCAATTAAACAGTTTCACGAATGAAATGATATGTGTTTTTACTTGCGTTTTAAAATGACATTTCTGTGATAATGTTGGTTGCAGAATTAAATCTTGGCGGTAAATTTAAAAAATTATTTGATTGTTTCATTGTGTACCATGTCTCATTGTGTTCCCTAGTCTTTTTTTACTTCGATGTCCAACACAACCAACCTTATGTTATTGGCTTATAGTCTCACTAACTATTACCTTTAAGTCCTTACATTTACGTCTATCTTCTTTTTATGTCATAAAATAACCTATTTATGGATGATTTTATCCACTTTTGTACATAATAAGTTGAGTTTCTTTAGTTTCAAAGAATGTGTTCCATATCTAATGCTGTTACTAATTCAAAAATATTTAGCTTTATTTCTACTTACAAAACCCATACTTTGATGTATTGCTTCATATCCTGTCTTGGATTAGGTCAACTGTTTATTAAAATCTACTGCTATTATGATTTTCTCTTTTAATAAAACAAGTCAAGTCAAGTCAAATTTATTGATCACATGCGACATTATACAAAGTACCTGTATGAGACAAGTCAAAAATACAGACATAAATCTTAAAATTATATAAATTAATTAAACACGATAAAACATACTTAAAAATTATTTTTAGAATATGGCTCTAGCTCACAAATGTATTGATGTACACACCTCCGAAAGTTTGGCTGATGTAAATTCATTCGTATATCTATTGGTAATTTGTTAAAGAAACTTATGGCTGCATAATGTGTGCTACCTTCCAACAAAACAGAACGATGTTGTGGAAGCATAAAGTGATTGTCTCTGAATCTTGTTGAATAAACATGGTTAAATTGAAATTTATTAAATTCATAAAGTTTGCTATGCAAATACATTATACACGAAAATATATACAGACCAGGAATTGTCAGAATATTGTTTTGTCTAAAGATGCCTCTACAAGAATTTCTAAATTTCATTTTATACATTATCCTAATAGCTCTTTTCTGAAGTACGAATATCTGCTCTAATTCAGAGATACAACCCCAGACGACTTCAATGCCATATTTGGCTATTGAGTAAAAATGGGCAAAGTATACTGTTTTTAATATTGATGTATGAAAGAAACGTGAAAGAATTCTTAATGCATAACATGCGCTACTTAATCTGGATTTCAAATTAGAAATGTGGTTTGACCATTTACAATTACTGTCTAGAAGTACCCTTAGCAACTTCGTGCAGTCTGTTTTATCTATTGCTGCTTCTATAGTGGCTTGATGGTTTAATAAATTATTTGACGTGAAACTCATATACTTTGATTTCTCTTCATTCAAAACTAATTTGTTGGATAAGAAATAATTTTTGATGGTTGATAGTATCTGTGAAGTTTTATTTTGCAAATTTTGATCAGACGTTCCTGTGACTAGAATGTTGGTATCATCCGCATAACTGATAATGTTAACCCCAGTCAGTGAATTAGTTACCAAAGTTATATCATTAATAAATACTATAAAAAGTAGAGGACCCAATACACTACCCTGAGGGATACCATAATGGATATCCAATGTGTTTGATTCGTTTACAAGTCCATTAGATGTTATCTTTACTTTTTGTCTTCTATTCTCTAGGTAGGAAGTACACCATTTTAGAATTATACCACGAATACCAATCCCCTCAAGTTTTATTAGCAACAAATTATGATCCAAAGTTTCAAAAGCCTTGGACAAATCGAGAAATAAACCACATGCCTTCTCTCGTCTGTCCAAAGCATCCAACACTAAGCTGACGAAATTTGCAAGAGCTGTAGTTGTAGAATTAGAAGATGTAAAACCATGTTGAAAATTATGCAAGACACTATGCTTTTTCAGAAATCCGTTCATTCTAGTATAAACTAGAGTTTCAATTATCTTTGAAAACACAGATAAGAGATTTATGGGACGATAGTTGTTAAGGTCATCTTTATCACCACTTTTGAATAAAGGGATTACAATAGATAGTTTAAACATACTAGGAAATATTCCTTGTTGAAAAGAGGCATTACAAACATCATTCAGTATGTCTCATAATTGATCATAGAAAGCTTTTCTTTCATTCAGTATGTCTCATAATTGATCATAGAAAGCTTTTCTTTCATTCTCACCCAGTGCTGTTTGACGAGCATAAACACACCATATTCAATACTTCTTTATTAAGTACAAATTTCGTCTTTCATTTTACTATCAGCAATTATACATACTCCATCCCTAATGTTACTTTTTACTACATGCCGCAATTTGTATCTTTCACCTAGATATTTCGCTTTTTGTCCTTCTCACCTAGTTTCTTGAATGCAAGCAATTCGTATAAGATCACTCAGGATTTCTAAAAAAGTTAGAGTCAGAAATGACACCATTAAAGAAATATGATGATGGGTGAACCATTATCGACGATATTGACAAAAACACAAAAACCAAATTATGGACACATACAACGTGCGCCAGAAACCAAAATTTATATTTTAATCTTTTACACATTTCGTATAACCCAGAAGACAGAAAACGATATTAATTAATCATTTTCGTTCATCGCCACCACAGTAGGTGGCGCCTCTGTACGCAGCATCACTGCAGTAGTAAAATTTTTGGAGCATTCGATGGACTTTCCGAGTTTGAATTTGTATCAGCTCAAATGTCTGATGAAGCAGAGATACTGAAATGGGTCATAAAAAATTTGACAGGACAGTTTTAGACTGTCAATATTGCTTAAAATGCAATAAATTCTTCTCTATTTTGCTTATGTTAGTTAGTTGACATGAGAACATTTTGTTACAATGAGAGATTTACAAATGACATATGTTCATAATATTTAAATTAGTAGCAACACTATAAAAAGGCAATTCGCTGAACAAAATCTGCATGTAAGTATACCAGTCAGAGTACTAGTTTTATACGTATATCATCGTAGAAGTAGTGCAATTTGCTAAAGAACACTTTGACTAATATGTTGATGACTGGGAGCAAGTGTTGTTCTTTGATCAATCGAGGTATTGCTTATATAGCTTGGATAGACATGTTGGAGTTATTCGACGGCTAAGAGAACGCTATGCACAGTACATACGATCTATTACTTTATTCAATGAAATGAAGTATCTGTAGAGGCGCGAACGGACCTTGTTGCTTTACGAAGTGGTTCCTTAACAAGTGAAAGGTATATTACAGACATTTTGTCTAACCATGTAGTTCCATTTGCTTCTTACATAGGAAATAATTTAATGCATGATAATGCTCGACCACATGTTGCACGTCTGGTCCGTGAATATTTGGACGAGGTTGGAATACAAACCATGAACTGACCACCCTGCAGGCTTGATATTATTGATCGGCAACTCAGGAGCAGACAACCACCACCTTGACGACAAAGAAGTTATGGTGAGACTCGTGAAGTGATGTGGTGAAGTAAGTGGTGAAGTTATGTGAGCTTGAGACTCCTCGTAGATTATTTTATCCGTTATATTCTTTGTATTTAAGAATTTTTCATATTGGTCTCTTTTCTTCTTTATTTCTTGTTCTATTTCTTCGTCAAACCAATATGGAAGTTTTCTTTGATTCTGGATTTGGTATCCAATGGCTTCAGTTGCTGCCTCCTGGAGACATCTTTTTATGTGAGTGTAATGGTCTTCATTATTATTAAATTGTTTAGTTTCCAACTTTTGATTTTTGATGAAAAAACAAAACTTTATTTTTACACTTCGTATATATGTAAACGTTGATATTTTACAGAAAACATTAATACGGCGATTTATTAGAAATATACCTATATTGTAAAGAAAAAACCATTAAAATCCAATAATCAGTTCAGAATAAAAATAGCTTCAAACTTATGGCACATTTAAGATGGTGCGTTAATTTTGGGCAGTAGTGTCTATATGACAAGAAGAAATGGCGATTAGGATGTGGTAAACGGCAAACATAATGTACTGTGTGAAGCCACCGATAAGTAAATATTAAATTTACAAATACTTTGTCCAGCAGTTTATATTCATATAAGTTGTTGATAGCCCCTCGTATATCTATATTTTATATCTAATCTGACGTTGTGATTTGCGGTTATGGAGTAGATATTTTTTAATATAAATAAACTAGTATAAAATAATCTAATAAGTCTAATTTAATCGGTAGTGGAATTGTACATTTTTTTAAATAAAATTATATATTTAGATTTTAATGAATATGTTACAAAGTGGACATGATTTCGTAATTATTTCGGAAATATGTATTTTTATGTAAAGCGCTAAATCAAAATATTTTTGTGAAAAGTCGTAAAACGATTTTTATAGATTTTTTTATTAATTCGTTCCTCGGTTTTGCATACCACTAACCGAAGAACGCGAAGAAGGAGTTACCAACGACTTCTTCGGCGTGTGTTATTGAGAACCAAGAAGCAACGGCACCACAGCACGGCAGTACCTACTTGTGAGAGAACGACCATCGGAGGGGACAAGCCAAGGGGAGGGTGAGAGCACCGAGGAGTTAGTGGCCTTGTATTAACAACTGCTTCAGTCAAGCATCGAACAGCCGGTTGAAACGGTCATGTTACAAAACATTGACTCTGCTATATACAATGGTGTAAGTCAAAGTGGTACGCGATCGCGATCATGGGCACCACGGTGGTGTGCGCCCTGTTGTTCGGGGCGATTTTTAGTGTTTTGTCGGCTTCTCTGAGTAAAACCCTCCGGTATCAAGCTCCCGACGAGTGTAAGTGGATAGTGGCGGACAGCAACTCCGACGACGACGTTGCTCTATTATGTAGGCTACGGACTATTAACAGTGAATTGGAGAACACAAATTTTAGTGTGATCCAACCCCAACATACGGTCCGGTTAAGGCTCGAGTGCAGTGACGCATTGTTTTTTCAAAGTTCTTTAAGTGCTGGCAGCTTTAAACCACTTGTCGAACTCCGAGAGTTGTCTATTGAGTATTGCAAAATCGGAAACTTATCCGATGGTGCTTTTCGCGGCCTCAAAGAGCTTCGCAACTTAACTATTCGGACCCACAATACCGATTGGTCTGCAATGACCCTTGATGTGTCACCTAACGCCTTTACAGAGGAATTACGAAACCTAGAAAGGTTAGATTTGGGTGAAAACAACATGTGGAGTCTACCCGAAGGAGTTTTATGCCCTCTTTATGCATTAGAAGTTCTCAATTTAACCAGAAACCGACTGCGAGAGGCCACAAGTTTTCGCTTTACTTCGAACCCTTCAGAAAAGTGTTGTGCCAATTTAAAACTCCTAGATTTATCCAGGAATAACATCGATAGGCTACCATCAAGTGTTTTCTCTGGACTATCACATCTTCAGAAGTTATATTTACAAGGTAATGGTCTTCATAATTTAGCAGATCGCGTTTTAGAAGGGCTCACATCATTAAATATTTTAAAATTATCAGATAACAATCTAGTCAGTCTTCCGCCCGAATTGTTCGCCGATACTCGCGAAATACGCGAAATGTACCTTCAGAATAATTCTATTAACGTTTTAGCTCCCGGTTTGTTTAGTGAATTGTTGCAGTTGTTAGTGCTGGATTTGTCACACAACGAACTAACTGCAGATTGGATAAATACAGCAACATTCGCAGGACTAGTGAGATTAGTAGTTTTAGATATTTCCTTTAATAGAATAACGAAATTAGAACAATCTGTTTTTAGAGATCTTTATAGCTTACAAATTTTAAGAATCAACGATAACTTTGTCGAGTATTTACCTGAAAATACATTTTCTGCACTTTATAATCTGCACACTTTGATCATATCGAATAACAAATTGGTAAAGATTGAAAGTGATACTTTCAACGGTTTATTTGTACTTTCCTTATTGTCTCTTGATAACAATAAGATATCTATAATACATCCTGAAGCCTTAAAAAATTGTTCGAGCTTGCAAGATTTACATTTGAATGGCAATAAATTGACAGATGTTCCCGATGTCCTAAAAAAAGTTCCTTTACTCAAGACTCTAGATTTAGGCGAAAATCATATAAATGTTATTACTAATGAAACTTTTAGCGATTTGAAACAAATGTACGGACTAAGGCTGACTGAAAATAACATAGGGAATATATCGAGGGGGATTTTCGATAAAATGACTGCACTAAAAATTCTGAACTTATCCCGGAATAAAATTCAAAGGGTTGCCGCTGGTTCCTTCGATAGCAATCTTAATTTGCAAGCAATAAGACTGGATGGTAATTATTTGACTGACATTGGCGAGTTATTTGGGAAATTACCTAGTTTAGTGTGGCTGAATATCTCAGACAATCAGCTGAAATGGTTTGATTACGCACTGATACCAACTGGATTACAATGGCTAGACATCCATTCGAACCAAATCGAGGAACTGGGTAATTATTTTGAAATTGAATCGACGTTATCGTTGAGTACTTTTGATGCCAGCTCGAATAAACTGACTGAAATAACAGGCAGCGCTATTCCTAATAGTGTAGAAGTTTTATTTTTGAACGACAATATGATATCCAAAGTTCAATCTTATACTTTCTTTAAAAAGCCCAATTTAACAAGAGTGGATTTGTTTGGAAACAAAATAACAAGTCTTGATCCTAACGCTTTAAGAATATCTGCAGTTCCTCCCGAAAAGGATCTACCGGAGTTTTACATCGGAGGAAATCCTTACAAATGCGATTGTACTATGGAGTGGCTCCAGAAGGTAAATTTAGGCAATCGAGCTCGAACTCAGCCAAAACTAGTAGATTTAGAAAGCATTTATTGCCAATTACTTTATAATAGAGGTGCAACTTATATTCCTTTAGTCGAAGCAGCTCCTTATCAGTTCCTATGTACTTATGAAACTCATTGCTTTGCTTTATGCCACTGTTGCGACTTTGATGCCTGTGATTGTGAGATGACTTGTCCAACAAACTGTACTTGTTATCATGACCAGTCTTGGTCAGCTAATATAGTAGATTGTTCGTCTAGTGGATATGTAACAAAACTTCCTGATCAAATTCCTATGGATGCTACTCAGATATATCTCGATGGGAACGATTTGAGGGCGCTCAACAGTCATGCTTTTATAGGCAGAAAACGGTTGAAAGTATTATTTTTGAACAATTCGAATATTGAAACAGTGCAAAATAGAACTTTTAACGGCTTGAAGGAACTGGAAATACTTCACTTGAACGGAAATAGATTAAACGAGCTGCATGGATACGAGTTTGAAGGTTTGGAAAGTTTGATGGAAATTCATCTTCAATCTAATAGGATAATATCGATCAATAATCACACGTTTGCAAGTATGAAGAAACTGAAGGTATTAAAATTGGATCACAATAGACTAGTGGTGTATAACATGTGGAATTTACCTTCAACCCTTATCGAAGTGACGTTGGCGCACAATCCGTGGTCTTGCGATTGCGACTTCACCGAGCGCCTCCGGGAATGGATGAGACGTGGCGACTCTGTACAAGATATTTCATCGGTAAAGTGTGTTTTCAATGCAACCGATATAGACTTTTATAACTTAGACGCGTACTTGGACAGTGCCGATACCGGTTTCTTCGTGAATCAAGAAAACGGTTCTTGTTCGGGCGTCGCCAACATAGATAACAGCATCAACGGAAACTTAACAGCAACAAAAACCATCATACATCGACAAGTCATTCAAGATTACTTGCCACTGTTAGTAATTACTTTAACGGTTTTCGCTGTCATCGTCTTGTTGATTTTAGTTATCTTCATTTATAGACAAGAGGTGCGAGTGTGGTTACATTCTAAGTTCGGGGTACGGTTGTTCCAACGAGCCGGAGATTTAGATAGGGACGATCGCGAAAAGCTCTTCGACGCTTTCGTCAGTTACAGTTCGAAAGATGAGGCGTGGATAGCAGAAGTCCTGGCGCCGGCCCTAGAACCGAACTACAAACTCTGTTTACATTACAGGGACTTCCCCGTGGGTGCATTTCTCGCCGATACCATTGTACAGGCCGTAGAATCCTCGAAAAGAACAATAATGATTTTGTCCGAAAACTTTATTAAATCCGAGTGGTGCCGATTCGAGTTCAAATCCGCCCATCACCAAGTCCTTCGCGACCGCCGAAGACGTTTGATCGTGATCCTTCTCGGTGAAGTGCCTCACAAAGACTTGGATCCCGATATTAGACTCTACTTAAAGACTAATGTGTATATTCAGTGGGGAGATAAGTTTTTCTGGGAGAAGCTGCGATACGCATTGCCCGATGTGCCCAACATTGGCAGACATCACAATTCTGTGAGGAGTCCTCACGTCCATCACCACGTCCATCGACATAGCGCTAGAGGACAGGCGCCTAACCCTCCAGGAAATGGTAATACTACCAGGACGGTGGCCATCCACATATGACCATGAATGCAGTCAAACCAACGGTAACAAAGTCATGTAAAGTTATTTTGTCAAAATTATAGAGTTTATATATATTTAGTTAACTAATTTTAAAAGTGATTGCTCATATACCTTCATACAACTATCAACTATTTGTCGAAATAAGTGATTTTTAGACCAATAACAAATTATTATAATACATTTAGCACTTTTTTGATCTGTCTATTACTAGTTTGTTGTTAGGGGGACTGGAAACAGTATTTTTTTCAGAAGTTCATTAGTAAACCAAAAACTTACTTAAACAGCGCGAAAAGCTCAGGTTTGATCGGAAAAGTATACCCATAAAATTTTTTTTGCATATTTAGTTTTATGAGATACCTCAAAATAACCTTCAAGATGTTGTTTAGACGAAAAGTTGTTCAAATTTTTTTAAACAATTAGATTTAAAACAAATTGTATCAATCACTTTTTTCGATCCGATCAAATCTTTTTTGTATTTTTTGGAACATACAAAACTAAAAAAAACACAAAATTACGATTTTCAAAATTAAAAACACAATTAAAAATAATATTTAAATTCACCAAGGACCTAAATTCAAGTTCAAACCTTCTTCTATCATTTTCCGATAAGTATTTTGGGGCAAATGAGCGCCCGCCCTGCCATACGCGCGTTTTTAGATTAATTTTTTTAGGCTTGTTTTTTAGATCATTATGAACAAAAAAGATCTCTTGTAAGTTTTCTCTAAAGTTAATCGTTTTGAGTTATAAATAATTTAAAATTGGAATTAAAATGTTTTCAAATTAGATAAGCCCAAAATACTTTTATAGGAATATGATAGAACAAGGTTAGAACTTGAATTTAGATCCTTGGTGAAGTCAAAAATATTTTTTAGTTGTTTTTAAGTCTTGAAAATCGTCATTTTGCTTTTTTTCAGTTTTGAATTGTTTATAACTTTAAAACGATCAGGTTTACAGAATTACAAAATACTTATTTTGTTCAGAATGTCCCATTGTCCAATTGTTCGGGCCGAAAAAATTCATTGTTACAATTTGTTTAAAATAATTTGAAAAAACTTTTTGCCTGGGCGACCTCTTCGGTTGCCCAGTAAAAAGATATTGGAGCAGTACCTATAATGTTTGATTTAAAAAACGGCTACCATATTATGTCGATTTTTGCGCTTGGTTGTAAACCGGAAAAAATCTGTACGATACGGATTTGCCTGTTTTTATTTTACCCCCTTTGGTTAAAAAAGGTCGAAAATTTTTTCGCAGATATCTGAAGCTTTTAAGACCTAGGTGGGGATTACTAGATGACGAATAGATGAAAAAGTTGCAATTTGATTTTTTATCTATAAGTTTTTTTTCTTAAATTTTACATAAACAATATTGATATTGTTTAATATCAAGAATATTTTTATTTTCCCATTTTTTAATTGATAAATAATTTACGGAGATATTTGCAAAATAGCAGTTTTTTTGCATTAATTTATTAATTTTATTAATTTCTTTATTAACAAAATACATTAATACATTTGCATTAATACATTTGATCATCGAGGAATTACCGTCTTTTAAATTTCTGCGAAATTTCCCTCCGATCGGTCAAATAGTTTAAAAGTTATTTAATTTATTTATCCCTGAGGCTACATATTTAAACTATTGAACTATACCCGATTCGCTAATCCCAGTTCGAACTGTCTAGTGATTTTAGTAATTATTTTTTTTCGAAGTTAGTAACTTTTTGACAGACTCGAAGTGGCTGGAAAATACTATACAACCAAGCATACGTGCTCTTAGTCAATATTAATGTAAACAAAAGTAAATAAAATAGAACTTTGCCGACAATCAATATTTATTTATTTACACCGTATAATGTATTGATAACAAATAATTAAATTATTTATTGTAGAAAATAAAAAAGTGGGAATAAATTCTACAAAATTAAGAAGTCAAAGTGAGGTTAAATAAGGATAAGACACAGCAAGTTCCTTATGTATTTACAACATTTACATAATTCGATAAATACATTTTAATGATCAACTTACCTCAACAGGGTTTTCATTCGGTAAAAAAAATGGTAGGCATTTTGAATAAACCTTTGTGCAGTTTTATTACCTTGCAATCTAGGAACAGCATCCTTACTAATCTAAAAATATTTATTTAAAAAAAAACTTTTTAAAAAACATTTTATAATATTTATTAAGAAAAACTTACCAACGCATTAGCTGATGGAACAAATGGAAAACTTTGACTATCCATAATAATAAAATTTAAAATATAACTAACTAATTAACTGAATAGAACTAACAAAAGAATTAAAGAAAGATAATAAAACAATATTAAATTAAATAAACAACGCGACTAATACAAATATTTACTACAATATTTTAAATTCTTCTTCTTAGAGTGCCGTCTCCCTACGGAGGTTGGCAATCATAATGGCCATTTTTATTTTAGAACTTGCTGCTCTAAACAAATCAATCGATCTGCATTGGTACCAATCATGTAGATTCTTTAACCATGAGTTCTGCCTTCGGCCAACAGATCTTCTTCCTTGAATCTTTCCCTGTATTATCAGTCTCAAAATTTCATATTTTGGTCCCCTCATCACGTGGCCCAGGTATTCCAGTTTTCTGGTTTGTATAGTGGTGATTAGTTCTGTTTCTTTACCAACCCTCTCCAGTACTTCTTTATTTGTAATTCTATCAGTCCATGATATTTTCAATACTCTGCGGTATAACCAGAGTTCGAAGGCCTCGATTCTTTTTAAATTACATTTTTTTATTGTCCAAGTCTCAGCTCCATATAATAATATTGAAAATATATAACAGCGAATGGTACGTAGTCTGATCTCCAAATTTAGATTTTTGCACGTTAGGAGTGGCTTCATTCGTATAAATGCTGATCTGGCAATCTCTATTCGTCTGTTTATTTCTACAGTATGATCATTGGTTTCATTGATCAAAGTTCCCAAATACTGATATTTTTCTACTTGTTCTATCACGTTACCATTTATTGTCAATAGGTGATGTATATTTTGTGGCCTTTTTGTAATCAGCATGTACTTCGTTTTTTTGGCGTTTATAGTAATTCCTATCTCAGCACTATTTATACTCAAGCTTTCGATAAGATGTTGTAGATCCTCTATACTCGTTGCTATGATCACAGTGTCGTCTGCATATCTTAAATTATTAATTAATTTTCCGTTAACGGTGACTCCCGCTTCGATGTTATTGAGCGTGTTTTGGAAAATTTCTTCAGAATATAAGTTAAACAAAAGTGGTGATAACACACATCCCTGTCTAACTCCTCTACAGATCTTTATTTCTTCTGAGTGTTGCCCATCAATTTGAACTATGGCACTTTGGTTCCAATATAATGTTTGCACTATATTTATGATTTTACTGTCAATGCGCTTGTTCATAAGTATTGATATTAGTTTTTCATGTCTTACTTTATCGAAAGCTTTTTCGTAGTCAACGAAGCACAAGTGTAGATCAACATTCACATCCCGACATCGCTGAATTTTAAATTGTAACAATTCAAATATTATATTTTAAATATACAGGGAAAATTTGATGGGTTTAGTATACACTTCCACTATTTAGAATAATTCTTCTTTTTTTCAAAGAAAGCAGTCTGCAATAGTAGTATACTTGAGCTATTTATACTGAGAAGTAGGAATTGTTGTGTTATAGGTTTCCTACAATGAGTCTGTCAAAATATGCCCTAGCTAAGCGAATAGACAATAGCTTTATTAATGATGCTAGATACATTTAGCAAATTTCATAGGATTCTTTAAGACTTAAACTATCTCAGAAGTTAAATGCATGTTGAGTTTTCATCGAAATTATTTACGAAATACACGTTTCAAAAATGGGCATGTTTTTTACTTATAAACAATTGTAATAACTTCTATATTTTTTAAGCTACAGACTTGTACGTACAACCATTAGATAGCTGGTAAAAAAACATTAAAAAAAAACTTCTATGACCAATAGGAACGAAGTTAGGGACTATTTTGACGAAATTTTGGAGCGTGGCAGCTGCTACACATTCCGCCTTTTTTACGCCTACTAAGATATATTACCGGTTTTCTATTATATAAATAATCTTTCTCCTATTCACATGAATACATATAAAATGTAGGGACACGAGGACGGTATACCCTGTGATTTTTTGAAATATTTAGATCTAAAACCATAAATAAATGTGTTTACTGTCCTCGTACTGTACATATACTATACACTTATATAAACATATATATCGTCAAAGTAGTAAATAATTATAATTAATATAAAGAATAAAATAATATAATGTGTAAACAATTACCTGAAATTGAATTTATAATGAAAAAAAAGTTGATTTTCCGAGATTTCAAGGGGCGGGGGAGGGGGTGAAAATTATGTCATCATTATTAAGTCACTATTCCAGCCAAATAAAAAAAGTAAGTTTTACTGTGAATTTCAAATGAACTCAATTTTTCCGAGGTTTCCCATATTTCCCGGCCAGTGAAAACTACGCAGTTATTCATATTTCGACGAGCTAGCCAAGAATAAAAAAGGGGCTTCTAGCTGCAATAGAAGCCGAGATAATATAAATTTTTCCTACGTGTTTTAATTTGAGTTATCCCCTCCACTTTCCTATGTCGAACTTTCGAAAGTGCCTTCGTTTCGAAGGCCTGTAAGTATCGAATAATTTGATGAATTTTATGTTATGCTATAAGTTTTACTATAAAGATTAGATTTTCATTCACAATTTGTGCAAATTTTACTTCTTGATGTTTATAAACAATAGAGATATGATTTTTTTTTTAAAATAGTCACAAACTTCGTTCCTGTTGGTCATAGGTTTTTTTTAAATGTGAGTTTTTTACCAGCTATCCAATAGTTGTACGCACCAGTCTGTAGCTTAAAAAATCTGGGAGTTATTACAATTGTTTATAAGTTAAAAACATACCCCTTTTTCAAACGTTTATTTTGTAAATAATTTCGATAAAAACGAAATATGCATTCTGAGAT